GGTGGAGTTGAGCATAACTTGCTTTTCGCAAGTTTATCGCCGCTCGTCATCCACGCCTCCCGCTGAACGCGTAGCGCTACTTTGAAGTTTGTTTTTCGCGTTACTTGTATGGGACTATGTTGCCTGGCGGATGGACATGTGACCAACATACCACTCTTGAACCCCGATACTGTGTGTCTGATCACATGCCCTTCCGCCAGGCAACGTAGTGCCGTACAACAGCGGAACAAACAAAACAAATCGTCTTACGATATGACAAAAATCATGGACAATCCATAGAAAAGCCGCACCTGACTAAAAGCCGCAGGGTTCAAAGCTTGTGCAAAAAGAGTGGCTTATAGCCCGACAATTACGGTAACTTTATTACTTTACTATCATCCCGGACAAGGCCCCAGTCACAGGCGATCCCCTTTCTAGGGAAAAATGTCACAAAGAAGTGTTGCACAAAAACCTTGTGATTGTTTTGGTTGCTAGCAGATTGTTGCGGTTACCCATCCTCATGAAAGACATCGACTTGTCTGCAAACCGTATCTAACTAATCACTGCAACGCAAACAAGAAAGGGAGACTGTTCGCCTTCAAATTAAAAGCTGTACCTTACCGATTAAACCAAAGACGCCGCTTTTGCTTTGACTGAATTTCTGGTTTGTGTCACACAGTCTCACAACCACTTAGTGAGAAATTAGAAGTGTTTGCAGACAAGTTGGCATCTTCTATACACACTACAATGACTGTGGGAATCTGCTAGCAACAAAAGCAATCATAAAGAGGTTTTTGACACAATACATGACAGCCAGCAACCCCTTGTCAACCAGTGGGGGAATAGTAATTTTTTCCTAGAGACCAGAAGTTTCTCAGAGGTAACTGACCTGACAAGGTTACATTGATATACTGATATTATTATATTGATATTATTTTTTGACAACTTTATTTATAATTTTCCAATATGACAAAAGTACAGAAAAATATAACTCGAATTGCGATTACAAACACTGCCATTGTGAAACTGGTTACGCCAC